GAATCACCTAAGCCTAGCAGGTGCCACTGCACTCCAACCTGGATGACGAAGTGAGGCTCCGACTCAAAAAAAAAAAAAAGAAAAAAGAAAATAAGAAAGAAGTAATTTGTAACATGGCCCAAGATGATTTTTTAAAATGTTACTAATTCAGCTGGGCTCGGTGGCTCAGCCTGTAATCCCGCACCTTTGGGAGGCTGAGGTGAGTGGATTGCCTGAGCCCGTGGGTTCGAGACCCACCTGGGCAGCAAGATCTCATCTCTACAATAAAAAAAATCAGCCGGGCATGGTAACACATGCCTGTAATTCCGGCTACTCGAAAGGCTGAGGCGAATGGATTGCCAGACACCAGCAGGTGAGGCTGCGGTGGCTGGAAGCGCCCACTGCACTCCAGTCTGGGCGACCGAGTGAGACTCCAACTCAAAAAAAAAAAAAAAAGTTACGAATTTGGGGGGAAAATTTTAAACAAAGATCATCAGAAATGAAATGTATGGTCGGGCTCAGTGGTTCATGCTGCTAATCTCAGCACTCCGGAAGGCCGAGACAGGAGGATTGCTTGAGCCCAGGAGTTCAATACCAGCCTAGGTAACATAGTGAGATCTTGTCTCCACACACAAAAAAAATTGAAAAAATTAGATGGGTGTGATGATACAGGCCTGAAGTTCCAGCCAGTCGCTAGAAAGGCTGAAGCAGAAGAGAGGATCACCAGAGTCCAGCAGGTCAAGGCTGCAGTAAGCCATGATTCTGCCACTGTACTTCCTGGGTGACAGGAAGGTGAGATGCACTACTCATATTATTTCCAGATGATATAAGAGAAAGAAGATTTCTGATTCCCTGAGCATGTCAAGCTCCTTATGTATGTATGTACGTATTTGAGTTAGAGTCTCACTCTGTCACATAGGCTGGAGGGCAGTGGCACACTCATGGCCACCCCAGCATTCACCTGCTGGGTTCAGGTGATCCCTCTGCCTCAGCCTTACAAGTAGCCGGAACTACAGGAACGAGCTACCATGCCCAGCTAATTTTTTAACATATTGTAGAGACAAGGTCTCACCAAGTTGCCCAGGCTGGTTACAAACCCCTGGGCTCAGGCAATCCTCTTGCCTTGGCCTCCCAAGCTCCCTATTTAAATTCTTATTTTACTCTGTATCTCTGTTATGTTGCACATATCACAAGTAGCAATTTTATACTTACTTGTGTTGTTTTGTTTTGTTTTTTTGAGTTGGAGTCTCACTCTGTCACCCAGACTGGAGT